ACAAAGACGTAGAACACGTTATAGAGCGTTCTGTACTATGGCAAAAATTTAAGAGACGTTACTAAAAAATCATCTTATTGCACAGATTTGAGTCAATAGCAATTCGGATGAAAAGTTCCTCGAAAAAAGGCAAAGCAGAAAATCAAACTAACCATCACAAAGCAGTAGTATGGAATACAGAGCACTCTGCATCATAGTGACCCATGTCGAAAGCGTTGCATCAGATGGTGGAGAAGATGCTAAGTTACGGAGAGCCTAAAATATAAGTTCAGTCAAGGTATTTTGTTTGAGGGCCATAGACCAAATATAAAAAAGCTAGCGATACTACAAAACCTGGAAGCTGTTTTACCTGCAATGCAGTCGTAGCCACAGTTGTCAAATGACCAGGTGGCAAATCCGGAACAACACTATTTTCGTCTACTCGAGCTGATTCACGAATAAATCCGATAATGAGGTAGAGTACACTCGGTAAGATAATGAGACGTCCCTTCGACGAACAGAGTGATGGCACCTGTGAAGAAAAACTTAGTGCAGGCACTTTTTCAGATTTACAAACGCTTACATTCACGAGTAATTGTATTCCACTCCTAATAAGGTTCGCACTCTCGACTGGTAGTCTTCCAAATCTTCGCATATGCAGTGGCGCCAAGGATTTGCTCTTCATCTGGGCTGAGTTGATTTGTGGCATCTGAAAGCACTCCTCATGAACTACAGAACGGAAAATTGAAAAGGCTATCCTTACCTGTCGCACCATTACACACAAGCAAAGTTCCATCATTGCAAAAGTCAATGTGGTACCCTGACCTATACCGTCATCGCCTTCACCGCCGGAGTACAAGTTCTTCGGACGCTCATCTGTGTCTGTTGTACTCGGCAGGTTCCCGTTCTCAATGTCTGGAATAGTATAAGTATTCAAGGACAACAGAATCGTGAAAAAAAAGGTGACATACCTTCACTGGCCATCACCCGCATAGAACAATGGGCTGCGTCGAGGATGGCATGAGCGCAATCCACACAAAGCTGTTGAGTAGCTAGATTGTCTCGAGTCAGAATGAGTCTGAAATAGTAAAAGGCCTAGAATAATATAGATCTTGGCATCAAAAATATAGAAAAGAAAATCGAAAAAGTTTCTCAGGATCTGGATCAGAATATGCCACAGACCATAAAAGCTAACTGATCAATAAAATTCCAACCTAGCCGAGTGATTGAATGATAAATGAAAAGCATTACCGATGTAGAACATTGCACAACTCAATCGCTAATCGTATGTCGGACATTAGTTGCAGCTGGCACCATTCACATTGTAGTAGTGCATGGATAGCTCGGACACAGCTCTGTAAAGTAACCGTAAGTAGGGTTATTGTCTATTAAAACGGTATATCTGCTGATCTGCGTTTTCTAAAGCATACGAAGCGTAGATACATGCATGATCTGACAAGTGTAAGCTACGGAGCACTTTTTGAACTCAAACAGATAAGCTCTAGTTTGGACTTCTATCATTTATCGAGTCCAGACTGGATCCACAAAGTTCTGTCATGGAGCAGCTCAGCTAATGGCATAAATTGGCAGATTCCAGACGTGCTTATTTATTGCATTCGAGACAATGAACAGTCTCTTTACCTGAATAGTATGGTCATCGGCATAGGTGGTCCTACTGCACAGTGCTTCAACAGCAATTCCCATCATAAGATGGAATCTGGATTCCCGCCGGTTATCTGGCCAAGTTTGAGGAGCCTAAAGAACGGAGATGTTAAAACGCTTGCAATGACCATAGGTTCAGAAACGTTGAGGGAGGAACGTAAAAACGTTTCTCACCTCAGCATTTTCAGGCAGTTCGAAATTGGATTTGCTCAACCATATGGCCAATGCAAGTAGAATTGGAGGCCAGCTGGATCTATAGTACTCTCGGCAAGCCTGAAAATTACGACTTCTGCGACTTCAAAGCAAATGCTAAAAAATCATACATCAGCACTCTCCGCCTTGTAGAATGCTCCTCCTCCAGATGGCATTTGATCAGCAAATTGAGCCGGAAGCGATAGTAATGCGGAATCTCGGAGTGCAGCCAGCCAGTAGCAAACGAGTGAATCAAGCTCAGGACGGACCAGCGACAAAAGACTTTCGGACGAGTTCAAGTAGCCCATATCTTCGTCATCTGCGAGAATACGAATAATAAGAATCAAAGAAACCTAAATGTTCATACTTACCTCCAGCAGCATCCTTCTTATTCTGCAAATGCTCTTCTTGCGCTATAGCGGTTACATAAACCTCGGCCCAAGCTTTGAGTATAGAAAGCTTCTCTAGCGTAGCCGCACTTTCGCTGTAGAGCTGATTGTTGATGGATCCATGTTTCAGCTTGCCCAGGGAAGAGACCAGTAACTATGATTACTTGCTATAGCACCCTCGTTCAAGATTTGGACGGTTGTGAATACCTGATGCACTCGACGTAAATCATTCAGATCTCTAGCCACACCGCTGCCAATCCATGTGCTACATACTTGACAAGCTGCTGCGGTAACATGGCTAGGTGTATCTTCCGTAAATGCCGGTCGAAGTGCTGCACCAACCTAAATTGTATATTTTCCAATTTTTCCCAATAATTCAGACTCGAGGTTTTGACTCTAACGCATGGATATGGTGCAGTCTTTTTCATTTTTTTTTTTTGAATTCGTTGAGCCAATCAAAGTGAAATAAACAGATAAATGATCATTTAGATAGTCTAACAAAGAAATCACACAGAAGACAACGCTAATAAGGCCAGTAAATGGATTTAAGATAGAAGCTGGAATAGAAGCTACTTGTTTTCTCAATGCATTATGGTTTTTGTAGCGAAACAAAAAATCAAACATTCTGAATGTTTTTTTTTCTAGAAAATTCAACAAACTTGTGCTTGGAACTGTTCCAATATGACATGACCGGGAAACTCTGGCTCTGGAACTGTCGAGAAGCGAGTGATTACATCCTGAACATGGTAAGTTTCAAACAATGAATGGTACTGAAGAGCAGAGGTGCTAGTAAAATTACCTGTAAAGAGTTCAGTCCAGCCAACCGCAACTCCGTATTGTCGCTCGTGGCTCCCATGAAAGACATCCTCACTAGATCCGACAGATGGAGTACAAGATAGTCGACTCGTCCTCCTGAACGATATACTATTGCTTAGTGGATAGATATAGTGAGGTGTGACTCACCAGATGACATTTGCAGTTCCTTCGCCAGTGACAGATCGAGATGAGCTCTCTCTGTATCGCAAACACTCATTAGCCGTTGCACTACCTGAGAGGCAACGAAATGAATTTCGTTGAGATAAAAGGAAAGGGGAATTTCAAACCTGTGTTGCAAAGACTCTAGTAGGCCACCGCGGCTGTACTTTGCCTTTATCCGGAACACCTGCTCGTGGACCACCAACTTGAAGTGTGGCATCATCATCATCGCCTCCCTAGAACGCAAAACTCATATTAAAGGCAGCGTCCAGGCAAATCTGGACTTATGGGGACC